TCCCTACAGCAGTGGGGGGGAGGAATTAAAGGTGACCCCCCAATAATTAGATTCTATACATGGAAAATTATAACAAATTTGTAAATTTTTCATGTACAGAACCTAATTATTGGGGAGTCATCTTAAATTCAGGGTTTTCTTAGATTACAGTAAATACGGTATTTTAAAATATTTCCCTCTTTTATTAAAAAGAACAAAACCCTCTTTAAGGTTCAGAGATTTTTAACTTTAAATTGATGTAGTACCTATTTGGTTTAATTTGATATTACAGGATTGTAATGATCTAGAATCATAAGAAAGCATTAGCTTAGAAAGTCAGGATTCCTGCCACTGTTAATTGCATTGCTGATACTGTTCCTTAAACATTGAGGGAATACAGTAAGCTTATACTTCACATATTTTTGAGTAAGAATCTCAGATATTTCCTTTAAAATGTTTGCTCTGACTTATGACTTCAAATTTTATTCAAAATATTGAATAATTGGGTTCAGTTGTGTTTAGTTACACCCTTGCTTTCTTTTTCCTAGGAAAACACTAAAATTCTTCAGCAGTTGCTTCCCTTAAGGGCAAAAGTAGCAGAGCTTCTTGGCTACAACACACATGCCAACTTTGTACTGGAGATGAACACTGCAAAGAGCACAGATAATGTAACAACCTTTCTAGGTTTGTTTTAATGTATATATTTATATCTGGATCTGCAATATGACTCCTCAGCCAATGTAGTCTTTAATATGAAACTGGGTCACAGAGCACACAAGATTCATCAGGAAAGGAAGCTCTGCCTCACACTCGAATACTTTTAGTGTTGTTTCTCCATACCCTGATATAAGTACATTAAATACAATGGAAGTTGCAAGCGTGCATGAAGAATATAAGTAAATCTGTCGCTTGTAAGGGGCTCCAGAGGAACAGTTTAGAACTTTAATGCAGTGGTTTTCAACCTGTTTTCATTTGTGGGCTCCTAAAAATTTGTAAATGGAGATGTAGACCTCTTTGGAAATTTTGAATGGAGGTACAGACCCCTTTGAATTGTAAGTGTGGGTATTCACATACTTCTATTGATTATAGTTATCTTTCGCAGACCACTTAGATATAGCCTGAAGACTCCTTGGGGCCTGTGGGCCATAGATTGAAAACCACTGATTTAATGCATCAGAGGCTGCCCTTTTTTAGTAATCCATTAATTTACCTTTCTCCTACAATTGCATTCTTATTTCAATTACTATAGTAAGAAACTTGTATTAAGCCAATACCTAGGAACTGCTGTCCCAAAACAGGCCAGTGATCAATCCAGCTCAGTATCCTATCCCCATTCACTGCCTCTAGTGGATGCTTTGGAAGAAGGAAAAACTCCCACAGTGTATTTTTCTTCCACTGTTGCAGACTGTAACATTTTGCTTGACCATGTTAGCCCTCGGAAGATTGATTTTTTTTTTCTTTTGATAGGGCAACTGGCAATGGTGTATTCATTCATAACATTGAGGCACAACATGGCTGATAGTAGTCATGGGTTCTATTTTATTTTTAAAATACTTCTAATTTTTAGTCATTCCGAGGTTTTTGCATTTGGGCAGGTGGATCTGATGGCAACAGCTAAACAGCTTTCATCGAGCAGCTTGAATGCTGCCAAGTGAGACCTGAGTTATAGGTTGTCTAATCATCAGGAACTTAGCATCAACATTGCACTAATAATCGAAAGCTCTGGACTAGGAATTCAATTTCTTAGAGATGAGTTGTGGTTTTGCTAGGAAATAAAGTTTGTAACTACCTGCTTTTTATGTGCATTTAAGATTTCAATTATAACTCTGTATGAATACGTTTTTCTATTTGGTATATTTTCTATATTATTCTAAATTGGTTTTTATAAGTGCACATCAGAAGAACACAATTTTTTTTTTGCCTGGAGGTAGTGTGAAACACTTGAATAATAGCAATAGTAGCTGACATAGTGATTTAGAAAATTAATTGATGGGTTTGTATTGCTGAATTAAATTTTTAATATAACTCATGATGCTTACCCCTTCCAGAGCTGACGGTGCAGAAGTCCATGTCCTCACATCTAGAACACACCTGAAACTAAAACTTTAAAAACAGGAAGGCAAACAATACAATGGCCTTTGACCAACAAATAGAAAACTTTAGTGTCCCCAGTTGGACAGACACTTTAAAAAATGTATACTTTTAAATGAGGGAATTTAGTAGTAGTAGTAGGTTGATTCAGAAACAATTATCTTATTCTCATATGCACGTATTCTCATTTTCAGATGATTTAAGTAAAAAGCTAAAGCCTTTGTCTGAGGAGGAAAGAGAGTTTATTCTGGATGTGAAGAAAAATGAGTGTAAAGAAATGGGTTTTGAGTATGATGGAAGAATCAATGCATGGGATCTACATTATTATATGATCAAGACAGAAGAGCTTAAGTACTCCATTGATCAGGAGAAATTGAAGGAATATTTTCCAATCGAGGCTGTTACAGATGGCCTATTGAATATATACCAGGAGCTGCTGGGACTTGAATTTGAGCAGGTAGACAATGCTTGTGTTTGGCATGAGAGTGTCACTCTTTACACAGTAAAGGACAGATCAACGGGAGAAGTTTTAGGGCAGTTCTACTTGGACCTCTATCCCAGGTAACTCAATTTTGTTTTGTTTATTAAGTGTTAGAGATGAGGCTAACTTTAGGAGGTTGCTAGAATGGAGAGTTGAAGAGGTGAAATAAAGTAATTAACTAACAGCATTACAGACATTTACTCTCTCAGGAGAAACTTTTCTGGGAGTGATTTAACCTTGTTTGTTCCCAAGTTATTTTTCTCCCAGAGGGAGCATCTTTACTCAAGGAGAAAAAGTCTGAACATCTTTGCACTTGTAGTTTTTCCAGGAGAACGGTGATTCTCCCAGAAGAAATGGAATGTCTGTATGAGGCCTAAGAGGAGGAAAACCACATAAAGATAAGAGTCTCTTCCTCATACCCTTGTCAGTGGGCAACCCTCCAAAGGTGACTGAACCCAAGAACTTTGCTTGAATCTGACCTGTGATGTCTCTTTTCCCATTAGAGATGTCTTATCCTTCCTGGTCTCCCTTCTCCCCTCCATATCCTACTCCTGAAAGTGTCCTTGCTTCTGTTTCCTTATCCTTGTGCCCTTCCCAACATATTATACAGGGACCTCTTCTCTACTCTAGGTAGTAGGAATTCCCTATGTATCTCACTTTAATATTGTCCTGAGGAGATGTCTGAAAAGACTTCAGACTTGGGGCCCAGTGTTGAACAAAGACAAAATTTCCTAGATCCTTTCACAAAGATTGATCAATCCTTAGGGCAGCCATCAGGATCATGTCCTACAATAAAGGACTTTCTCTTTTTGGAAAGAATCTCAGAACTCAGGTCTGTCGGAGAGCTAGACCCATTCCATCTGGCATCACTGAAAAGAACATTAATGTTGTATTGGGACTTGATCTTGTTGACAGTTTTATTCCCAGGCCTTCAGCTCTTCCTGCTAAGAGCCCTCTCAAGTTACAGAAGAAAACTCAAGAGATTTTTGTCCAGTATTGGGAAATGTATCACTCTCTTACTAAGAACTGCTTCAGCAGGATCCCATTTGATATCCCAACCCTACAACCTCAAGTCTAAGAGACAGGTGCTTTGAAGCCAAGCATTTATGGGAAGCTTTTGATCATTTTCTTGAATTTATGGAAAAAAATGGTTTCCGTTGCCTACTACTAGATTTAGGTAGCCCTCTCCATCAATGCAAATCATATAACCTTAATCCTGAAAACCTTTCTTCCTCCTGTGCTGGGCTTCCTTCAGGCAGTGTTTGAGAAGTGAGGCATCTTCAGTTAATCGTTTTCCTTCTCTACCCTTAGGCCTGCAATTAAGTCTTAATTATTTTTATGGGGACTTTTTCTAATTTAAGGCCCTTTGAACCTTTGATTGCTGCTTCTTCATCTCATGGAAAATTGGTTTTGGCAGGGCAGGTTACAGCCTTGTTCAACATCATTATTCAGGTGTTTTAGACAAGGCCCATCAATTTAAAAAAAAGCCAAGTAGTAGTGAGCACCTAGTATTAATATCAAAGAGCTCAAAAGGTAAAAGGCCCACTCAAGCTCAGATGAGCCATGAGGTTAGCATAGGTAAAACACCAGAGTTTCTGTAGTCAGTGACTCACAAGGAACATGGCTGGGAGCACATCCAGTTGCCTTTGAGTATCCATCCCGGATGACCAGGCATCCATTTACAATGGGCTCGACTTCAGCTAGGGCTGGAGCAGGGCTCAAACTTGTGCTTCTGAATATGTAGCAGGATGATTCAGCTGCCTTGCCACTGTGACCCCCATTAAACTGAAAAGCAGATTTTATGCATATAATGACAGCAAATAAGGGGTAGGTGCACATTTTTTTACTTTTTTTACTGGCTCATTTTTAATTATCACAAGACTGTATGGCTGGGAGGGACCTCAAGACGATCGCTGGTCTGTCCTCATGCTCTGTACAGGGTTGAGTATATCTAGACCATGCCTATTAACAGCCTTCAAGGAAGAGGATTCTACAACCTCCACTGCAATCCTGTTCTAATGCTTTACTATCTTTATTATTAGGAGGCTTTTTATCCAAAATCTTAACCTGAATCTCCCTTGCTAAAAATTAAGTTTTATTTCTTGTTCCTCTCTAGTGAACAAAGAGAATTAATGGGGCTGATGTGCTTTCCATATTTAAGCACATGTTACAATGCAACAGTTTGTGAGGGAAAACAGATTGGAAATAAGAATGTGTTCTCTCATCCTTTATCTGTATTAACATAATAGGCTGCTTACAGACGTGAAAAACCCCCCACCATTTTACATTCAGCTCGGTGACCCCCACACTGAACACAGCGCACGCCCAGAAGAGGTATCACATTAGTTGGACCCATCTCCCCCATTGTCTGTATAGATTGTGTGCTTCAGCAGAGTTTCTTAGAGATTTTATCTAATAGCTGATTGAATCAGCTATTAGAAAAAAGTGACAAAAAACCCTGCTGAAATAATGCCTGATTATTACAGATCAGATTAGTCCAGAGTTTTGCATTATTAGTGGGGCTTTTTGCCTGCTCTATAATAGATCAGATTATGCCTATTTTTACAGATGCTGGGGATACAGGTCAAACTGACGTGCTTCCTCTTCTGGTAAAGTGCTGTTTTATTTTGTTTTTTCATGTCTGTCAGTGGCCTAATTGATTTCTGTCCTTTTCATAGCAACCTTTTATATCTTAGAAGACTCCTTTAGTCTTAGTCCCTCCTCTGGTCTAAAGAAAACAAAGCCATTCTTTCAAACTTTCCTCACTGGTCATGTTTTTCAAATCTTTTATGACTCCTGGATTCTCTTCCTTTTTTCCAATTTTTGTTAAATGTGCAACCCAGTGTTGAGCACAGTGCTTCAGTTGATGAGGCCTCCTCATCAGTGCCAAGTCAAACAAGAGAATTAATTCCTGTATCTTACATACAACTCCCCTTTCTGTATCATCCTGGGATGATACTTGCCTTTTCTGCAACAATATCACATTTTTCTTTTACTGAGTTCCTGATCAATAGTAACTCCCAGGTCCTGTTCTGGAATACTGCTGCCTAGTTAGATATTCCACATTTTGTATTTCTGCCCTTGATGTCTCTTTCCTAAGTGTAGTATTTTACACTTGTCTTCAGTGAACTTCATCTTGTCTAATTATAGTCTGGTTCTCTAATTTGTAACGAACACTCTTGAATTGTAATTTTGTCCTGGAAGGATTTGCAACCACATTCAGTTTGATGTCATTACAAATTGTATTCTCTCCATTCCACTGTCAAAGTCATTAATTTTAAATATAAAATAGAACTGGACCTATGAGAGAAACCTACTAGAAACTTGAAATTTCCTCCTGCTCCGACAGCAAACTATTGGTAAATGCCTTGTTTACCCAAATCCAAAACAAATCTATATTTATTTAAGATGATCCCCCCCCATAATTAGATTAAGTGTGCACTGATAGATATTTGCAGCTGATACCAATAGCCAATTTTTAAGGAGGCATATCAGCTGATACTGATCCAATTTCCAATACCCATCTCAGCAGCATGGAGAGCTGCCTCCAGCTGGTAAGTCTGGTGTGGTGGAAGGCAAAGGGAGACAGAAGGGGCTGCGGGGACAGATCAAGGCCCCCATGGTGAGGGAGGATGTGGGGCAGGGGCTGGGGCAAGTGCTGCCCAGCTAGGGCAAGGCAGGCACGGCACGGGGCCATGGCTTGTCTTGGGGGGCAGGGGGGTGCAGCTCATCACTGTGTACTACTTGTTTGGGAGCTGCTGGTCTAGCAGCTCATCCGGTACTCACCTGTTAATCCAGCGGCTCCCGCTACTCATCTGGGGGTGTCATGTGCCCCCAGATCTGTGCAGGGCAGGCTGGGGCCAGGGCTGCGCCAAGCTCTTCCCAGCAGGGCTGCACTGGAAAAGGGATAGCGGGGGGGGCTGCAGCCACAAATTTGCTGTGGCCCCTTCCAAGTGCAGCCCTGCCCCGCCAGGAAGAGATTGGTGCAGCCCCAGTCTGCCCCAGACAGATCCAGAAGCACACACCCACCGCTGCCCTCCTGGATGAGCAGCACACAGTGGTGGTAGCCCCCCCCGTCCCCCAGATGAGCTGCGCCTGCCTACCTCAGCTGGGCAGCTCTTGCCCTTTCCCTGCCCCACACCCTCCCTCATCACGGGGACCTTGATCTGCCCCCCAGCCCCTTCCACCACACCAGACTTACCAGCTGGAGGCAGCTCTCCACGCTGCCGGGCTGTGCTCTTTGCTCCCTGTGCTTCACTGCAGCTGCATGCGTTTATCAGCTAAATTATCAGCCTGATATGGCCAATTTCCAATATAGTACATTTTCTTTATATTGGTGCTGATCCGATATCAGGCCAATGTATCAGTGCACCTCTAATTTAGATTCTAGACATGGCAAATTTATAAAGTTGTTGATGGGTTGTCTTAAATTCATTCCCTCGCTCCCACTGCTACTGTGGGGCAATCAGTGTGGGGGGGCAGGGGCAGACCCCTGTACCCCCTGGGTTGAGCCTAGAGTTAGAGCTGCAGCAGCTGCCTGACCCTCCCCGATTATACTTAAATCCAAGACAAGGGGCTTCCCCCCATCCCCCCATGTTAAATGGTGAAAAATATCTTGTCTTGGACTCAAGTAAATCCAGAACTCACTGAGTGTAGTGTTTCAATCACTTTTGTACTTGCTTTATGATGATTTAATCTAGGCCACAAACTTTCCCAGTTTGTTTATAATAATGTCATATAGAACAGTGTCCAAAAGTATTTATGAATGTCAAAATGTATCTACTACAACCTCTTTTTCCATAAAGCCAGCTAACTGTCAGAAAAGGAAGTAAATTTGTGTGTATGTGATTTGTCCTTGACAAATCCATGTTGGCTGTTTCTTATCCACCTGTTTTTAGTATTTTTTTCTAACATGTTTGAATATCAAAGTAAAGCTTCTCCAGGTCTTCCTGTTTCCCTTTTCAAGCTACGTACCATATTTTCCCCTCAGCCATCGTCTATTAGTTCTTAAAGATAATCGCTAAGGGAGATTTTTATAACAATTTTATGGAGGGGGTATCATATTTGATTTTTAAAAAGAAAAGTGCTTTACAATACCAGTACACCCTAATCTTTATTCTTTAAATATGTTTCAAGTTGGTACAAACATTAATACTTCAGAAAATGAGATATTGTATTTCATCTTATAATTATCAAAACCAGGGATACATCTACACTACAGACTGCCAAATAATGAAGAGCTAGTTGTAAATGACAGAGCTCAGGTTGAAGAGGGCATTCAGAAAGTTTCTAACCTGACAAAGAAACAAACACTGATTTCATTCAACTGATGATTTATTTTTAGAATAATCTCCTAGACATCAGTGTACATGGGATAACATACTGTTGTTACTTAAAATTGCCAATAGCTCAAATTAAGAGTGAGACCTTAAAAAGGGGGATAAGGCAAAATGCCATGTTTGATGCCATTGATCACATGAAGCAGATACATAAGCTTGGACACATCAGTCATACAAACAGACAAACATAAGCATACATACAAACAGACATAGACATACAGACAAAACCACTCTAGTAAGATGTTATAGTTACCAGCAGATGTTACTCAATATTAGCACTGGATGGCCGGGTCCAGGCTTATTGAAGCTTATGAGCAGGGGTATACAAGCATGCATTCCTGTGCTCCATGAGGTTGGAGAGAATGGATTTCTCATCTTGCCTTGTCTGCATCTCACTTTTATAGGGATTTCAAGTCTTTGTTCAGCATTGGGGGTTTTCCATGCCCAGTGTTTAATTAGAGGTTGTTTCTTCTGGGTATCTCAACTTCAGGTCATTCCAGTGAAGTTGGTTATCTCTGCCTTGAAACACCGTGTAGTTCAAGTGGAAGGATATGAAAAGTTCTTTCTTCTTCCTGTCTTCTTTGCACCTGATCACAGACTAGTTCTTCAGCCATCCATTAATTAGCTTAATTAGTTTACTGTCTGGTAACTTGTATATTGGCACCTTGTTGCTTACACAATCAATTCAATTTTCTTCTGTTTTCATGCAAATAGTTACCATTCTTTCAACATTCACCATCTCACACAGACACTCACCTACACAGGACATACGAAGTTCATCTACTTATGTCAAGCAGGGAACAAGCACAAAATGGAGTTTTAGTTGTTTATACAGTCATAGAGGTTGATCAATTCAATACTATTATCATTTAAACATAATAACTAATATGCGAAAATTCATAGTACGCTGTCTTAGTCAGTACTCCTCGATTTAGCTTCCCATGACACTTGTTCCTGATGGCCTTACTGTGACTGATGCCAACTTCTTGAATTTGCGGGAAATGAAGGGTATGAGTGCTTTCGCTGCATCCTGTGCTGTTCAGTCTCAAGATCAAATTGGTTATCCTATGGCTTGTCCTGAATCACAATCCTGTGCATGTTTTTTTTCTGGGTTTGCTTGAAACTGCCCTTAAAGTTTCTTTGTAATGTCAAGTTGAATTGTTTTTGGCCAGTACTCAACATTCTTGGCACTGATCTCGCTAACATCTTCCTCATACCCAGTTCTTCCCTGAAGATGGAATGCGCAGGCCCAGTGCTGTTGCCTACTGTCTCAGCTGTGTGCCTGATTATTAATCTATTGTTTTTCATCACTGCCTTGTGGACTGTAGCAACATGTTCTGTTATGGTAGCTTTCCAGGGATAGCCTGACTTTAACTCACTCTCAAGGCTAAGTCTTCCTCACATAAATTCAACTGTCAACATTTTTATTTTACTGGGACATATGAAGAGATATTATCCCTCACCTTCTCATGAGGTCCTTTACAGTCAAGCCTTTCTTATTTGGGTACTTCTTTTTTTTCTTTCTTTTTTTTTGTAACTTATTTATTTCTACAGGTCCTCAAACAAGGTCTCTGTACATAAAATAAATTACTGCCAGCAAGCAAACACACCAAAACACTACTACTTTGATCTGCTAAATCTGTCAGATGAAATGGGTCAGGCAAGATACTTTCTGAACATCAGTTATACCAGAAGCAATTTAGCCTCAGCAGCCCATAATTCAATGCAGGCTGACTTACCCTGCTGAGAAGCTAAGCTTGTTTACAGCTAGTTCTGTGCTAATAAGCACTGCACTCTGCATTGTCACCATATCCTTTATGTAAAGTAAAAATTACTTTTAGAAGGAGCAGAGTTGACTTTTTTATATCTAAGGGCTCCCCCAGGTACGCAGGGACAGGCACAATAGGACTTGATGCACAACCCACACAATTGTACCTCCTGCCATGCTACACAATGCATGGCAGGAGATATGATTGTGGGATCATGATCCCAGGCTCCCCCTGCACTGGCAAGTAGCAGGCTCCTGCAGCTGGGTGCCCCCTCAGCTGGCTGGGCTCCCAGCCACAGGGATGCACCATGCACTCCTGTGGCTGGGCACACCTGGATAGGATAGGAACCAACCACATTGTTATATATTTTTTGTGGAATAACTTTGTAGCTTGTTCCTGGTTTTATCACCCCATGAATTGATTGAATGTATGGCCAGGTCACAATTCAAGACAATTAACTGTTTAATAACCTTGTAAGTGTAACATATGGCAATGACCTAAGTAATAAGGGATTCAAAGGTTTGCATTGCTCCCTTTAGTGTTACACTGACAGGATTTAGACAGTTTTTCATTGTGTTCTTAGCAGAATCTTAGGCGTGGTGACTTTTACAAAAAATATTGGATGTGAATTTAAATTTAATAAAAGAGATTTTATTGAAAGAGAAAGGACCCCTATCATTATTATTAAAAGGTAATTTTAATAAGAGATGTACCTCTGTCTCATATAAAGCTATAAGAGGAACACAGCCCCATTCTCCATATTACTTCTGGAAAATAGGCTTGTGATGTAAGGATGGTTTTTGGTATATTTTCTTGCTCAGAGAGGGGAAGTATGGTCATGCAGCATGCTTTGGTCTCCAGCCTGGCTGCCTTCTCTCTGATGGCAGCAGAATGATGTCTGTAGCTGCTCTGGTGACAAACTTTTCAGAACCAACTTCAGATCGCCCATCATTGCTGAGACACGATGAGGTGAAAACTTACTTCCATGAATTTGGCCATGTAATGCATCAGATATGTGCACAGGTTAGTAATGTTTCCATTAAAAGGTCTGTTTCTATTTTCATGGTCTCTAAATATGGTGGGGTATATAATGTGGTGTCTGTATTTGATGAGACTTATTGTTTCCTTACAATAGGTCTTGAAGAATCTTTTTTCACAGTTCTTTTGCGTTTTTGATATATAAATACAGGAATGAATACAGTTTTGGGGAAATGTCCAAACAGTAATGTATCCTTTCCCCTCTGAACAGGCTGAGTAACTGGCTGATCAGTAAATCACTCCAGGAGTAAGGAATATTTCCAACAGATAGCACTAAATGAGATGGTTGCTACAGCTATTGCTTGTTTTTCTTAGTACCCAAATGTATTAAGTCCTCCAGAAACATAAAAAAGGCCCAGTTCCTGTCGCAAAGAGTTAAAATGTCCTGTGAATCGATACTTATTCATAGAGCTGTGTTCCTTGTTATAGAAGGCTGTGGTTGTGTTAAACTGAAGGCAGGATATGAAAGGCATAAGCTTTTGGAGGCACCAGACTACTTCATCACATGTTATAAATGGACTTGCAGAGAACAGGGATACTAAATAGAAAGGAATAAGATCAGGTAAATACAAAGGATAGTGAAAGAGGGAGGTAAGGAGAGGCACAGCTGTGAGAGGCAAAGGTAGATTGAAGAGACTGAAAGAATAAACAAAGCAGTTAACCCACTGAGGGACATAAGGGTTATAAAAGCTAAACCAAGTAATGGAAGAAGAATCCAGAGTCTCTGCTGAGATTATACTTAATGTAATCCAGTCTGTGGATTCTTTTTTTGTTCTGCAATGTTGTGTTCCAATTAATTTTTCAAGTTAGATTGTTTAAGAACAGCTCTGAGATAAGCAATGGAACGTCCATGGAGGTTAAAAGTGTTCTGTCACTGGCTTTCGTGTCTTTCTGGAATTGATATCAAATTAGTGTTCATTCATTCTTTAATGTATGGATCACCGTGTATGTCCAATATAGATAGAAGAGAGGCACTGAAAGCAGGTGATAACATGTATGACACCTGTAGAGGAGCGGGCGAATGCACGCTGGATGTTATAATCTGCGTTTGGTCCAGCAATGATGTGGTCTGTGCTAGTGAGGGGGTATAGCAAGGCCTGGTGCCTTGCTGAGAGTAATCTGTTGCTGAAGAGGAACTGTTTGAGGTGGGAGGCTATCTGTAAGCCTGGATAGGCTTGTCCCCACTGACTGCCCCGAGGTGGCTGCCATTTGCCAGGAGTGTTTGGAGATCAGTGGTGTCCCTTGTGTCCACCACTTTGTTTATCCCTTTTGAGCTCTTTAACCCACCTTTATCTACCTCAGCAGTTCCCCCTGCTCCTATCCTTTCCTCCCCCTTTCCCTGTCCTTTTTATTTAAATTACTTTATTCTTTTCTATTTAGTACCTCTGCTTTCTAGTAATCTATTAATAACATCTGATGAAGATGACTTGGCTCCACAAGTATATGCCTTTTTGAATGAGTTAGTCTCTAAGGGCACCTTTATATTTGCTTCGACACGTTCTGATTAATTAAATCTGCTGGAAAGTTCCAATCAGAATGCTCCAGCATGCTACGGCGTCTCATGTGTTCAGTGTCCCCACATTTCAAAATGGCAGCGGGAACACTTTAACTAAAGCTCGTTGAACAAGCTTTGGTTAAAGCATCCTTACCACCATTTTGAAATGCAGGATGCTAAAAAGAAGAGATGCTGCAGGCATTTTGATCGGAGTAGATCCCGGAGCACAGGTATAGGTGCCGTAAGGTGCTACCCTGTCCTTCCTTGTGCTTGATACAGAAGGTAAACACACCCCAGCCCAGGCAGTCTGAATGCTGCCTTCTACTTCCTTCTTCAGTGCCGCCATCAGACTTCTGCATCTCAATGGAAGGGACTGATAAAGACCTAAATAAACTTCTGGTTTAATTTTCATTTGACCCATATTTATGAAAGACTTATTTATTATTAGATGAGTTCCTTTCTGTTCAAAAGATATAATCTTCGATGTTTCCCATTCCAAGTTTGTAAATGTTACACCATCAACTCACAAATCCAAGGCTGATAGAATAAGGACATGTATAAACCTGCAGATTAAACCTGAGATTAAATACGTTTGATTCACCCCAAGATATTTCAGGAACACAGTTTCAGATCTCACAACTTAAGGAGGAAACTTTTCTCCTTTGCCACAGTTATTTAGGGGTTCCTGATAAAAGAAGTCCATGTAGATGTGCTGCAAAAGTGAGTCTAAAATTTGGGGAGCCAAATAGAAATAGTCCTCAGCCCACCGTGGGAGTATGAGAGAGTCATAAAGTCCTGCTTTCAACTACCATTTCACTGCTGAAGTAGCTACCATGCCAAATTTTGTGTTGCTCCATACCTGACCATTTATGTATATTGTATAATGAGCTAATTTGCATAATATGACCATAGAGGGGTAGGTGAGGATACATGGGGCTAATAAAGGATCTCTTGTCTTCTACTGCTTTTGCCTTCTGCAGCCACTGTTGTTGTCCTGCCAGTTGTTGGTCCCTGACTGCAGTTCAGCAAGGGATCCAATACAAGATGCCCTCTGAGTGCCACAGAGGACCTGATTGACTAAAAGATGCAGGAAGGCAGCAAACATTTTCCTGAATTTGCACCTATGCTGACTGCACAAAAAGAAGCGTGTGAGACAGCTGTTAGTTGTGTGGGAGTCGCATGCTGTGCAACTCCTGGCAATCGTACATGAAATAATTCTATTACCATTCTGGAACAAGCTGGAAAATGTCTTCCCTTTAGGCATCTGCACCTGGCAGGGGAATTGGGGCGTGAAAAAAGAACAGCAATGCAGACAGGCATCATGGATAGGCATTTTTGTGTCTAAAATTGTTTATTACAATTTCTGTTGAGAGAGAGAGAGAGAGAGAGTGTAAAGCTATTTTAGGGTTTGAAAGGAAATGGAAGGTTGTAGTAAAATCCTTGCTTTCAATGCCAAATCTTTCTGAAAATATTTTGGCTTTGAAGGATAAAGATCCACGTTTCAGAACATATAAGTATTTCTAAGTGTAAAAAAGGATTCTGTATTGCAGAACTAATAGAGGTGAGGCAGATTTTTTAAACATGAACAGCTTAATAACACTTAATGAAGTAGTTAACCTGCAACACAAAGCTGTGATTGATTTAGATAAGGGGTGGGCAATTATTTCGGCCGGCACGCCACTTAATGAGTTTGGTGAGCTCTCGAGGGCCACGCACATAATATCTTTCAAAAGATATCATTTGAACAAATTATAGATAAAAAACAGACCATATACTAAAAATCAAACATCTACTATAATATAGTTTAATTGTATTTCAAAAAATAATTTTTGTCCTGACTTACGTAGTTTTGAGTAGTGTATATAGAGGCGATTACATAATAGCTCAAAATAAAATCTTACTCTTGTATATTGTGGAGACGGAGTGGGAGGAGGGCATGTGCATGTTTCGAGGGGCTGCCCACATGCTAGGCTCCAGGAGCTGACTGGAGGAGGATGGGGGAAACGGGACACATGCAGTAGAGCTCGCCTGTGTGGTGCAGTGCAGGTGTGGTTTCCCTCTCTTCCTCCAGTCCAGCCTGGGGCAGTCTGCACTCCTGTCCATGCCTGCCGACAGCCCCAGCCAGCACACAGCTTCCTGGCAGGGCTGCTCCCAGTGTGGCTGCAGCTGCCTGGGCACTGCTTGACTCCCTCTGCCTCCAGTGGCTCCTCCTCTTCCTGCCCCTGCTGTGCCACTCCAGGAATCAGGTAGTGTGGGGAAGGGCAACAGCCATGGAGATATGTGCCAGGTACCACATGCCCAGCCAGATGGGGAAGCTGCAGCCGGGCAGCTCCTCCCCAGCACACAGGGCTCTAGCTCCAGCTCCCGGTGACCTTCTACCCAGTCGGCCACCCTCAGGTGACCGTTCATCACGCTGTGTGGGAGGAGTATTTGTAAGGTAGCCAGTAGTTGGCACTGGAGCCCCACGTGCTGGGGCATAAGCCACCTGGCTGCAGCTTCCCCCAACCTGGCTGGGTGTGTGGTGCCTGACATGCATCCCCACAACTGCCGTTGCTTCCCCACTCTGCCTGTGTCAAGACTGGCACAGCAGGGGCAGGAAGGAGAAGAAGGAGCCTTTGGAGGCAGGGGGAGCTGAGCAGTACCTGGGTGGCTGCAGGAGCAGCCCTGCCGGGAAGGTGTGCACACTGACCAGAACCATCAGTGGGTGTGGGCAGGAGCGTGGCACGGACTGCCCTGGGCTTGTCCCCATGTGGAGTGCCGCAGGGGCAGCTATGGGTGAGATAGGGTCAGGGGGGGAAAGGGAGAGGTAGGAGGGGAAAGGAGGGGCAGGGGGGGATAGGGAGGATGCAATTACACCTGCACTGCACCGCCCGGACAGCTGTGGGCCTGATCCAGCTTGTGGGCTGTATTTTGCCCACCCCTGATGTAGATAGAGTCCTTCTACCAGTGATTCAGAATACTAGAATATGGGACATTTCATTCATGAGACCAACATCATTCATTTATTTCAGGCTATGCACCTTTAATTCAGATATTGTATAATATGCCCAGGGCAGCATGCTCCTACCAAATAAGCAAAATTAGAAGGATAGTACTTGATAGGGTGGGCAAATCAAGGAAAATCCTTCAGTAGAGTCTAAATGCGTGAAGGTCTAAATGTTGAAAGTTGCAACATTATACAGCAATTCTACAAGTTACAAACTGTTTTTTTCAATGTTTTATAGCAGGCTACAAAGTAATTATATTGTTATAGGACAAAGCTAAAATGTATTCATCTCAGAAAATGGAAAAGACTTGTGTTTTCTGAGATCCTATGACTAACCATCACTGCATATATTTTGGTTAATTTTCCCATTGTTTATTGCCCAAATATCTGAATTGTTCCATCACTTTTAAATTCTGAGTATACTGTAATATTGAGCTTTTTTAAATATAGTTGGCTAAAATTATTCTTTCCTCCTTTTACATTCATTTCAACACATTCAAAAGTTGAAATTTTACTATAAATCCTTTTTTGTTTTTATATTTAATAGAATGGCTTTCTTGTTTTTTTTTTTTTTTTTTTTTTTTAGACTGACTTTGCAAGATTTAGTGGAACTAATGTGGAAACAGACTTTGTAGAGGTTCCTTCACAGATGTTTGAGAACTGGGTGTGGGAAAAAGAACCATTACAACAAATGTCTAAACATTATAAAGATGGGAGCCATGTTTCAGACGCCCTCCTTGAAAAACTTGCTGCCTCTAGACTGGCTAATACAGGTAATTTTTAAGCACTGCTTTCATAAAATCATATCATAGAAAAGTAGGTCTGGAAGGGACCTTTGGTGGTAATCTAGTCCAGCCCCATGCTCAAGACAGGATCATCCCTGACTATACCATCCTAGTCAAGCATCTTTCTAATCTACTTTTTAAAATGTCTCGAAGTGGCCTCTTCCAGTGCTTTAACTCCCTCATGGTGAGAAAGTCCTTCTTAAATTTCTTCCAGCTTAAATTTCCTCTGCTCCTTGGGCCATTATTCCTAGTGTTGTCATCTGTGGCCACAGAGTTTTTCTAATTATTTTTGTTGCTCTCTGCTAGGATTTTTCTAATTTGTCCATATCCTTTTTGAAGTTTGGGGCTCTAAAATGGACCTACCTGGTACTCCAGGTGAGGCCTTATGCGTGCCAAAGAACAGAAAGATCACTTCCCTTCTTTTGCAAATTGTTAATACAATCCAGTGTGTTGTTTTTTAAACAAGAGCACACTGTTGGCTCATACTCACCTTCTGGTCCACTAACCCCACAGGTCCTTTTCTGCAGTACTACCATTCATTGCCCAGCCTGCATTTGTACATGCACCAGCTATTCCATTCTAAGTACAGGACTTTGCACTTACCCTTAGTGAATTTCATCAAGTTGATTTTTTTCCCTCCAGTTTCTCCAGGTCATTTTGAATTATAGCCCTACGCTATAATGTGTGTTTAACTCCATTAAACCTGGTGTTATCCACAAATTTGCTAAATGTATACTCAGTCCTATCCTCCAAATCATTAATGAAGATATTAAACAATATCAGGCTTGTTGGCACTGGATTTATGACGCAGATACCTTGTTCCAGGAGGACCCAAACCCTCAGACCGACCATGACCTCTCTATTTGATAATAGTCAAATTTTATTGATACACACTGATACCAGATGAGAATAATGCAAACAATTCTATAGCTACCAGTCCTAGAGCTGTCACATAGGGAAGGTACGTCTGGACAGTATGCAAACTTCACTCTGAGGTTCTGTCTTGAATATTAGATGTCAGCAGCCTGGAGGTCAAAGGCCAAGCCCCCTTCTCCCTCCTCCCCCACCCCCACAGTGGGGTGGGTGAGACAGGCTGATGGTGTGCCCTCTATCTGTGGTGGCCTCGAGTTCCCTTCCCAGGGACCCGTTGCTGCTCTGAAATCCCTCCTTTTCTCCCCCTCTGATGACTCTTCATCTCCAGGCATCTTTGATTGGGCTCCCTGTGGTCATCATACTGTCCACACTCTGTCCACTCAGTATATTTCTTTGTTTCACAAACCCATCACATGCACACATCCTAATTTGGACTATTTACCATTTTTTCCTAATTTGGTCTGTTCCCCAAAGCCGGAAATCACAAGGGCTGTGCAGTTGGATGCTGTGACCTAATGTCACCTTATCTCGTGTTGTGGAACAGTGTGGTACATGTCTTCAATTTCCCAGCCTGCGTGTCTGCCCGTTTTAGACATAGTCGGCCTTGAAGGAAACTTTGTCACAAACAGGCTGTTGGAAATCATTTACCCTTTGCCGTTGCCCTGGACCATTATTCTAATGCATATCTACTTTACTTACAAGCCAGTTCCCAAAAGCAAACCTCTAAATACCATTTTCTATCCATCAAGGCCCAGGACAGACTCTTGGGGAACCTAACTTAATACTGCCTCCCAAACAGGCATTGAGCCATTGATGACTACTCATTGATCCAGCCAGTTATGTATCGAGCTTATGAGACTCATCTATATTTCTTTAGTTTATTAATGAGAATGTCATGGGAGACTGTGTCAAGAGGCTTGCTAAAATCAAAGCATATCACATCCATATCTCTCCCCCCATCCACAGAACCTGTCACCTTATAGAAGGAAATCAGGTTGGTCAGGCTTGACTTGCTCTTGTATATCTTTGTGGCTATTCCTGATCACCTTGTTCTCCAGGTGCTTTAAAAGAGATTCATGAATTAACATAATTTTTCCAGGTTTTGAGGTCAGATTAACTAGCCAATAATTCCCCAGATCCCCCTTCTTTCCTTTCTTAAAATTGGGCACTATATTTGCCCTTTTGGAGTCATCTGGGATCTCACTGAACATCCACAAATTCTCAAAGATGGTAGCCAATAGCTTTGAAATAGTGTCAGTCACTTCTTTCAATTCTCTAGGATGTTTGCTGTCCAGACCTAACAACTTAAAAGCATCAAGCTTCTCTTAAGTATGCTTCTCTTAAGCATGCTTCTCTTAAGCTTCTCTTCTCAAAAAGAATCTAGTAGAATTAGAAAAGGCACAGGGAAGGGCAGCTAAAATGATCAGGGGCCTAGAGCAATTGCTATACTAGGAAAGACTAAAAAGGCCAACACTCTTCAGTTTGGAAAGAAGAAGGCTGAGGGGGGATATGACAGAGCAGAGGTCTAGAAAATCATGAAATGTGTGGGCAAAATGAGCAGGGAACTGTTGTTCACCAAGTCCCAGAACACTAGCAGAATTTATTGTCACAGGAGGTGGTGGAGGCAAATAGCATAGTCAGGTTTCGAAAGGAACGAGATAAATGCATGGATGATAGATCTATCTGATGACTACTGAACAAAATGGAGAAATTTCCTCTGGCCTCGCTAATCCAATAAACGGTGGATGCCAGAGAGGGTATTGAATAGGGGATAGATCACTTTAGTGAGATCCAGTTTGATGCTCTTGATGTATAATGCCCCCCCCTGCCACTGTCGGAGATAGGATACCAGGGTAGGTGAACCATTGGTCTGACCCAATATGGTCTACTTACATTCTGATCCATAACCTGTTTTACCACTGCTCTAGGCTGTTTACCTGTCCTCCCTATCTTTGCTGCCAATTGTCCTCCTCATCTTGTGGCTGATTTTAATCATGTAAAATTCAAATGAACATTCAATACTTCAGTTTTCTCTGCATTATCTCCAAGTAGTCTGCCTTCTGCATTCAGTAAGGGGCATACATTACTTCTGACATACTTGTAAAATCTTTTTAGTGCCTTTTACATCCTTGCCAGTTGCACCTCAAATTATGCTTTGGGCTTCCTGATTTTTCTCCCTATATGTCCATGAAATACTCTTATATATGACTAAGTTTCTGTTTTTGTAGGATGTCTTTTAGAGTTTCAACACACTGAAGAGACAGTGTTTTAACCAGGTCAGTCTTCTGTTGCACTTCCCATTCTTCTGTCACTTCTGGATATCTTGTTCCTGCACCCTTAGTATAACCTCCTTAAAGTATAGCCAGCTCTCCTAGACAACTTTCCCCCTCCCACTTGCCTCCCAAGGGATCTTACTTATGAGTTTACTGAGTTTGTTAATGTCTACTTTTCTGAAATCTAGTGTCTTTATTCTGAGTCTTTCCTCTTAGAATCTTGAACTCTATCATTTCATGGTTACCATCACCCAAGTTACCTTCCACATTCACATTTTCAACCAGTTCCTCCCAGCTTGTGAGCAGCAAGTCAAAAAGAGCTTTGTCCCTAGTTGGCCACTGTACCACCTGTACCCAAAGTTATCCCCAAAACACACCAAGAACTTGTTGGACTGCCTGTGCACTGCTGTGTTTCCCTTCTAGCAGGTGTCTTGGTAATTCAAGTCCCTGTGAGAACAAAGTCCTATGATTTGGAAACTTATGCTAGTGGTTTAAGGAAGATCTTGTTCGCCTCTTCCTCTAGGTCTGGTGGCTTGTAGCAGACGCCCACTGAGACATCACTCCTGCTCATATCTCCTTGGACCTTTGTCCAGAGGATTCCAACATCCAGAATGGTGGATGGAAAGAATAAAGCCAATATTCTGTGTAAAACAGAATGAACACAGTCCCCTTGTATTTTTTTGTTCGTCCTTAAATGTGTATATACTGCTTCTGTAATTACAACTGATAGGTAAACATATAGAAAAGAAAGTTTATACTTTTGGAATGATTACAAAAACTATGTTTAAATGCTGAAACTGAAACTAAAAATGGCTGATGTCTTAACTGCTTTCAAGAACACAATTTAAGAAGATGGAGATTGTAACAGCAAATCCTTTAATAATAATAAGCCTCTCAATTTTTTAACTACTTGTTTCAGTTGAGTAAAAG